GTCTGAAAAACAATGGACACCTTTGAGGTTTCACCAGCACTGTGTGTCCTGTCCTTGCTTTGGTGCTCCACAGTGAGGTGACCTGATTTTGCAGGCTCTGAGGGAGAGGCCTTTCTCTGCGGAGGTTAAGACAGCTGTCTGAGTCAATGCATGTATAAGTAACCATCACGCTTACCGTCCTTTTCCTGCTTTTCACATCAGTCTGTGCTCATTTGAACTGAATGTATGAGAACTGGATAAATAACCAGGCCTTTCAAGTACAGACCTTCATGATAAAATTAAAGTTAAATTATTATTCTTATTTTTTTTACATTTTATTTTTTAATTTTTTTTATTTTGACAAACACAAAACAGAATAACACAAATTGCCCGACACAAAGATACACAAACAAAAGTATACATAAAATGATACCAAAAAACCTTGTACTGCAAAACAAAAATGTGCAGCAGGACCAACAGAGACCAGGGAGGAAACAGAAGACAAGTACCTCAAGAGACATTACGTCATTCCAAACCTCAGAATGTCACAAATAGAGGCATTTATGCTGTCCAGATATGGTGTCCAAATGCGATTAAATGTATTAGTTGTAGAGTGAATAAAACATGTTAGAAGTTGCAGAGGAATAGTCTCTCTAATAACTAAATGCCATCCTTTTATAGAAGGAGGTTTATCGCTGGTCCACGACATAAGTAAATTCTTCCTGGCAGCAAAAGTTAACAGGCAAAAAAATATGTTTTTATGCTTATTATTAATAAGCTTACAAGGAAAACCCAGGAGAAGAGACAGAGGGTCAGGATCCAAGGCCAGACCTAAGATGTTATTTAATTGAGCTACAATTTTGGACCAGTATTTTTTTTTTAACATTTTTAACTATTGTACATGTTGTACTTGACAGTTAATCTAGAACTGGGTATTCAAACTGGGGTCCCAGGACTCCCAGAGGGCCGCGAGTGTCAGACTCTGTTCCATGTTTTGTGTGTGTCCTGCTCCCCATGTGCCTTCCCATGCCCTTATTTGGTTAGTTTCCTGTTCCTCCCCTGATTGGTTAAGTTCATTTGTCCCAGGTGTTTCCCTTGATGTTTCACAGTGTCTCCTCGTCCCTCGTGTGTGTGTGCAACGTGACAGCGAGGAGGGGGGAAAAATTGGAGAGAAAAAGTTATTTCTTAAAAATATGTATTTTAGAGATGTCAAAGTTAATGTTAACTTCTGACATTAATGAAATGATTATAGTATTAGTATTATTATTAGATATTAGTTAATATATTATAGTATACATTATACTATAAAAAGGACAAGCCATTATTTTTCAAACTAAATCTTCTATTATGAAATTATTTATATTAAGAATTGTAAATATATTATTATTATCAACAACAATGAATGTTTTGCACTATTTGTTATTATAATTCATTATATGTTCTTGTTATTATTATTATGTTCATCTGTCCTTTTTTATATAAAAATAAAAGTATATACAGTTGTCTTTATGTTTTGGGAAGGGGGTCTCTCAAAAGGGTATCATATTTGGGGGCTTTATGGCATTTAAAAGTTTGAAAACCCCTGCACTACAAGACCGATTTTTATGTGTAAAAAAATATCCCACAGTTAATCCCATTCTTTCCGAGAAGTGCAGGCAATTTAGTATAATTCGTAAAATATGGTGTCATAAAACGTTACCAAGAATTACATAATTATGTTATGCAAGCACTATAATCCATATTCTAGATTTGGGAGGTGATTTGAGGATTGAGGAAGTGCTGTATGCAGGTATTAGTCGTAACATAGTGTGATGTGCCCAAACAACATTGCATAACATTTCAAATCAGCTTGAGAGTGGCTTAGGTCAACAATCGTGCACAGGTAATACACTTATAAAAGTTTCACAATGAAACATACTTTATGCTTGATGTTTACTTATGACGCCATCAGTTCTGCATGTCTTTGACGTAGGTCACCGTGTCTGCTGTCAGTCTGGGGATGTCTGTCGTAGGGCAGGCCTGACATCTGGCTGGAGTGTCACGTAGACAGCTGTGTCTCGGTGCCAAGCAGAGCGGCTAGTGACAGGTGTGTCCTGCCAAAGGGACGCATATAGACACACACTTCCAGCAGTCTCTGGACAGCGGACACTTTCCTCAGTCTCTCTCCGACAGCTATCGGCACAATGCAGGGCTCTTTCCTCCAGGCCCGCTGTGAACAGCCAATCATGACCACAGATTGGGGTCTTCCTCTGATCATCGCTCTTCTGCTACTGGGGCTCCTCTACGCATTCCTCTACCTGCCTGCAATCACGCAAAGAGCCCTGCTGGAACAGGCCCTCGCCAACCAGACCGCCAACGAGGACTTCCTTCCTAAAGAGGACTGAGCAGAAGTGTGCATTCGTCCACCTAGGACTGACACAGCTGTTTTTATGATATGCAAGTAACCTGAATCTTGAAACCCGTGAAGCAGCATTTCTTTATCATACGGTGATGTGGAGACACAGGTGGCCCCAGCGTTTCTTTTAAGTTTTTGCTTTATGCACAAGACTAAGACTCCAAGAATAGATCCAGCTCTGGAGATGCGAATGTTGAATCATATTTTACCACAGTTGGAGGAGGAGGAGGACTGTGCAGCTCTGAGATTTCTCGCCTCATAGGACAACCTTGTGTTTCCCGTCCAGCCCGAGGGAGAGGAATTAGTCATACAGAAGTCATCATTGCAGCTTATTTTGTCAGCCAGAAAGAATCAGTATGATATTAGAACTTGTAAATATTCTGTTTAAAATCCATGCTCAATCAAACCTGCGCAACTAATCTATTCAGCTCGAGGAAGGTGGGTGCCTTTGGATGTAAACCAGTGAAAAATGAAAAATAGTAATTGTTGTAAATGTAAAAGCAATGATTGTGATTGGCTGATATGTAATTTTTTTGTCAAAACATTCAGATCTTTAAGAGATTTATGCATAATTTATGAGATGTATGCTTCTTTTAAGAGATTCGTGTGTGATTTATGTGCCCTTTTACCACAAAATGTAGATGAATTTCATACATAATATTCAACAAATTGCATGTAATGTTTTTGAAACCTACTTTGTAAATGATTCACATTTATGACAAGATCTTATTTATACAATATTTAAGCCAGTAAAGTTCTGTATTGCTCTATGTCGTCAAAATATCATTGCTAGAATTAGTTGCTTCATCTTTCATCATTAAATTGAATGTGGCCGCTGTGACTGTGATCTGTGGATATGTTCAGGGAACAGGACGATGGAGGGCAGACTTCTTCTTTGTTGAAATCCTGCAGCCTCCACTGTGATGTAACAAAGTCTTATGCAGCCAGCATATGTATGCATGTGTGTGTGAATGTGTGTGTGTGTGTGTGTGTGTGTACCTGGTATTTATCACGTTATGGGGACCAAATGTCCCCACAAGGA